GCGCAATAGTCAGAAATCGTGCAGTCCTTGAATTCCTCGCGGATAACCTGCTGCATGATTTGGTCGGTCTTTGTATCGACATTCGCCGTTGCCTCATCGAGAACTAAGATCTGCGCTTCCAAAGTAGTGCACGACACAGACTGACCAACTGGCGCTGGCCGACGCTAAAGTTCTTGCCACCATCCTCGACCCACTTGTCCAGACCTGTTCCTTCAACCCACGGACCACTGCTGTCGTCATTAACATCATGCGCCTGTGCCGGTCTATCAACAAGATCTTCGATATGGCCCTTGCGAATTGCAGTCCAAACCTCATCGTCGGTGAATTCGCTCAGTGGATCCAAGTTTTCTCGAATAGTGCCCACAAACAGAGCCGGGTCCTGCGGGATGATGCTGATCTTGGAACGAAGATCCTGGAGGCCAATTGTCGAGATGTCCACTCCATCGATGAAGATAGAGCCACCTGCTGGCTCGATTAGGCGCAGCAGTGCGTATGTCAGCGACGACTTTCCAGCGCCTGTACGTCCAACAATACCGACTTTCTCGTTACAGCCAACCGAAAACGAAATGCTGTTCAGAACAGTGTCCAGATTCTCGCGATACCTCATGCTGTAGTTTCTGAACTCGACAGTTCCATTCGTTGGCCAGCTCTGCAGCCGCTGCAACCCTTCGATGGTCCTGGGTGCTCGCGCGGAAGTCCAGTGTAGACAAAGTATTTCGAAAGCGAAGGTAGCACAGTCCCAAGCGAGTAGCCAATATTTGATATCTTCTCTACACCAGATAACATTATCTCTGCAAGCCGCATTACCATTTCAACCTCACCCGGTGCTGATGGTAATCTCAAAGTAGATATCCTCCATACCTGGTAGAACAGCAACGTGGATTCTACCAGGACAGTAACCAAGACATGCAGAGCGAATGCCATTTGGTGCAGAGTGTTACTATGGAATGTGGCGATACTGTAGGTGGAAATCTGGCAAATGGATTTCTGCAGGTAAGCACCAAGGACGCTGTGGACGCGCATTAGCATCTGGCCTTCAACAATCAGGCTAAATGTGCCTGCATGGGAGAATTTAAAGCTCGAGAATTCTGCAGCATCCACCCTTTTCCGTGCTTTTGTGGCGACTCGAGTCCCTAAGAATATGCTGTTACGGTAGGAAACACAAAGGCAAGTAATATAGGCATTCGCTGAATACCATGTATAATCGCATTCAAGGCGTAGAAGGCTCCTAGTACCTGCTGACAGATCTGGCATGGAAGCGAGAAGTAGATCCTGTAGCAATCCCAGTTGAAGAGACAAGAAATTCTCCCACTAGGGAGGCTCTCAAACTGCGACAGTGCATAAATAGCAGCATGTCAAGCACCTCATTAAGAGTGTGCTTGCGTAGACGCGCAGACCACAGTACAGTCGAATCCAACCGACCAGCATGTCGATTTGAACCCGGAGCATGTTGACCAAGGCGTTCATGAACAGGTATTTTGCAACAACTGGACCATGCTCTCCTTGTTGCTGTCCACGACTGAGTTGGATGTTGCGTTTCCTGCTCTATTGATGTTCCTATCCCAGATCTGCCTAATGATCCCATCCACACCTGGCCTTTTCAAGGATATCGTACCAACAGCTGACCTTGTTCGTCTGTCTGGAGTTTCCTACAGTGGTGAAGTGTCTAACACAGCCTGGCGTATCAGCTGCATTGAGTTCGATCACCATCTGGCTTCTGCTACTGTTTCTAGGTGTCCTGGCTTTGATCGAGGCTTCAACCTGCTCCATGCGGAGTTAAAGTCTACGCATGAGGATATGGAGGAGGCCAGTCGATTGCTCATTCGATCTCTGATGTATGCTGGTTTTACCGTTGAGCGTACCTTAACTGCCCCACCGAAGCTCTTCAGCAACATCACTAACCGCAAATGATTCAGCAACTATATGTTCAAGGATAAAGCATGGAATTATACCACACAGAATCGCAATAGCCCCTCTCGTCGGCTCAGCCATAAAATAAGTGCATTTTGGATATTCACTTCCTCAAGCAGTCAGCAGGAGAAAAACACAAGGTTCATGGACAAGCTGGCCCAAGACTGGCAGTGCTGGTCTGAAAAGTTTTCGGAGTAAGCAGCTGACAATAACTAGCGAAATCGATACTTCGCCAGTACATTCGTTCCGCGTTTGTGATATTCTCAGTTCCCAAGTCCTTCACATCCACTGAACATTCAAATCATTCTGCCAGCTCTTCAAACAGGTGCCGTGCGTATCTGTTACGAATGTAACATTTACACATCGCGGACAGCTGGTAGACCATTCAAGGGGCAGCTAGTCAATCTCCTAGGCAATGACTACTATGCACTTGAAATATTGGCTTTGTTGCTACAGCGCAGAGGCGGACCATTCTGCAATGCGATTCGCAGCAAGGGCTTTGGGTACACTCTATCCTTTTATCTAAACCTACGGTCTGGCATGCTTGTACTTGATGTCGATCGGGCATCAGATGCATCCATGGCCATTTTGGAAATGCCAACATTCGTGTCTGGTGTTGGCGAGCACTGGGATAAATATGTATCCGAATTTGGCATCAACATTGTCAGGTCAGCGATTGTGTATGAATTAGCATACTCACAATATTCTTCTCATCGGCAAGCAACCAGCTGCAATTACAATAGCCTTTTTGGATTTGCGTCGGCTAATCAATACACATTTGAAGCCAAACACGTATTAGTGTCGTGACGAGTGCTGACTTGTGACGAGTATATGGCCTCCACCTGAAGTGGTTTGTAGCTCCTTGCCATCCATTGCATGCGGTCTTTCTGACCCCTCCCGGTACTGAGCTCTCTGCAGAGCTGGACAAGTTCGAGCTCAAGGCATTGGGACCTATAATTGTCATAAGAGTAAACTATCCTTCACGGCTGTGTTGCTTAGGATATAGAAACTCAATTTATAATACAGAATGGAATGATCAGCCCACATTTGCAAGAAACTTTTTGTATTGCGACATTACGAGAAGCAGCCAACGTAGTTGCATAGCTTCTAAATAGCAAGCAAATTACTTTTTCAAACCACTAGTATGGATTCTTGCTTCTGGTATACACGTAATAATTTTTCAAATGACTTTATTTATCGGTCAACCATCGTGACATCGCCATCTAGATTTATGCTTATCTATCGAGGATGTTCATTCGACTCATTATCGAAAGCAAACAGCGGGTGAACCTAGGCATTTCATATATGTTTGTTTAATCAGGACCGGAGCCATATTGATACAAGCTGCTTTTCGAGGGGAAGGCGCTTTAGGGTATTTGGAGGTGCTGAATGGATGCTTGCGATTTTAGCCCAAAATATCCGAATAGTACTGGGCTGGAATACAGTAAAAATCATTGGCAGATTGTATGGGTAGTCGAATGTTTATCAACTATTCTAAGCACTATAGCATAATGGTAGCAGCAGAGTCGTGTGCCGAGCTTCTAAACGTAATTTTCAGGCACAAAGCAGCTGCAAGGAGACGTTCATACCTTGGGGCTGCGACCAAACCGATTCGGAAAGATCAGATAGCAGTATAGCTAGCATCTACAACAGGAAGCTGTGGCAGAGAGTTATCCGTCGTCAGTTGCGTGGCAGGAAACTTGAAAGGGGCCAAACAGTATCGCTTATCATTGGAAGCCAAGCGTTACATTCTCTATTTTGACACTTTTCGCCGGAGAGGCAGCATCAGATGAGTCGTTGAGGGGAACGCACTGTCGACAACAGAGTTCAGGATAGTTAAAGAAGCTATGTCTGACGACCTTGTCCCAGGGTACAATGATGTAGCAGCAGGACTCTCGGCAGAGGTCCGTAGCTACTTTGCTAGTCATCAGCACTACCGTCAGCTCAACACGCAGCCAATGCAGGTCATATTTGTTCACGGCACAGCAGGCGTCGGAAAGAGCGCAGTTATCAAGAGCGCGCTGCAGTCTCTTCCGTACCCTGTGATCAACAGCAGCCTCGGCGATATTGTGGTTACCGCTAATGGTACAGAATCCGCTGATGAGTACGTCAAACAGGCATTCACCGATCTGCACGCACGGGCAGGCGCAGCAGCGGCATCCGTTATTGTCTTGGATCGAGTCGACGTCTTGGCCGACCGGGATCTGACACAGGAAATAGGCAAGTTGGGCATGCAGTTCCTTCAGTTCACGCAGAGCCTGCCGCCATCTGTCTTCATGATCCTCGAGTCGACTCGGCCAGCTACATCCATGCCGGCCAGCATCAAGCGCAGCATTGTAGTGCAGCATGCGCTCGAGATCCCTGTTCCAACCCGACCACGGCGTGAAAAAATTGTGCAGTATGCAGTTGCCAAGTATTCTCGAACTGAAGGTGGCACGGAGCCAGGTGATTCGTCGTTGATTTCCCGAATTGCCCGGGCAACCGCTGGATATGTTGCGCGTGATCTGTGCAATTTATGCCGCCAGGCGTACCTGCGGATGCTTCGCGCAGACAATGGACTGCGGAATGCAATGCTTGATGCCCGCTTGTGGAAAGCTTTTCGCAATTGTCGCTGCAGGATGTGCAAGAAGGCGGGAAAGGGTGGGCAGCTCGGCGCCAAAATGGTTAGATTTTGCTGATGCCTTGCAGATTGTGCGACCATCGCAGCAGCTCGAGTTTGAGTGTGCCCTGCCGACAAAGACGTGGGCGGACATTGGAGGATATGGTCCGGTGAAGAGCATGTTGCAACGGTTTATGAAGTTGGCGACGTCCGAAACATCGTCGAGGCTGGGCATTAAGCCACCGACGGGCGTTCTTCTCCACGGACCAACGGGCTGCGGGAAAACCGCAATGGCACTGGCGATGATTGCAGATAGCTCATGCAATGTGATCTGCATCCGTGGGTAAGTGGCTTCATTGCGCAATTCGCAGTGTATCCTGAGATCGATTAGAACTGATGCAGAGAAGTATGTGCTATGTAGATCTGAGCTGTTCTCAAAGTACCTGGGCGAGACTGAGGCCCGGCTACGGCGTCTGTTCCAGGCAGCGCAGGCTGCAGCCCCGTGTGTGATATTTATGGATGAGCTGGACGCAATTGCGGCCAAGCGGAGTGGTCGTCTGTAGAGAGCGGGGGGCCAGGGCTGCGTGTGCTCAGCACGCTGCTCAACGAGATGGACGGCGTGCATGAGGCCAGGGGCGTCATTGCCGTGGGATGTACCAACCAGATTGATAAGATCGATGATGCGATTCTACGCCCAGGTAAGTCTTATCGCTGACGTGGAGCTATGTGCGAACAAGGCAGGGGCAGGCCCGGCTGTCTGCCTGCTTGAGCACGACGTGTATTTGGGGAGACCTCCTGCGAGCGATAGCAAATGATGTGGAGGGGTAAAGTCGGCTATCAGTTGATCTCTGCCACCCTGTCTCCCCCCAACGAAATGCGCTTGCTTTTCGGTGTGGAAGCAGGGAGAGGGAGCGCGCTGGTTATCTACGAGGCGAAAAGGCGCTAATGAATACTCGCTGGCTTCTATTTTTAGGGCGATTTGACCAGCTGGTCCATGTGGGGATGCCCGCACTTGAGGACCGCGCGGGGATTGTGCAGACGCTGGCACGTAATTCGCCGCTAGAGGCCGATGTGCGTATGGATGAGCTCGCGCGGCTTACATCCGACTACAGTGGTGCTGAGCTGGAGCAGCTGTTCCGGGAAGCAGGATTGGCAGCCATGCGCAGCGATGC